TAAGCATATTTTCTACCTGACACATTGAGTGCAATTAATTTAAGGTTTATTGAAAACGTTATATTAATTTGTTTATCGAATGGAAAACATTTAAAAAACGTTTGCAGAATATGATTAAAATCCAGATATAATCATTTAATTTGATCATATCTGATTTTAATCATATTCTCCAAACATTTTTCAAATGTTTTTTTATTTCATAAATAAAATACGCTCCCAACAAATCTCAAATTAATTGCGCCCGATGTGTGAGGCAGAAAACACGTTTTACTAATGTACTGCTACGTAAAACACAATTTATTCATTTCTTATATCTGAATTCGTATAACTTTAACGTTTAGTTCACGAATAAAAATTATGAAAATGCAGATGAGACGATATTTCGAAAAACGGGAAATATATATAAAGAATATATACTTAGTCTTCATGAGTGGGTCATTTTGACCGGAGTGAAAATTTTAGTTGACTGCAATTTTTGTACGGTTAATATTGCAGAGTTTGTGTGTGAAGAAGTAAAAAAACTTGAAACTTTTCTCTGTCAATCGTCGTGACAGATTGTTTCATTGTTGCCTCGATGCTAATAGTGATGCAATAAGAGTTTGGCTTGGGTAACTTAGACCTATCAAATGTAAATTCGACAGATTCTTGTCAAAAGTACAAATTCGTTTTTAGTAAATGTCTGTTTATTAATGCTGTTATTCAAGTATATGTTATTAATGCTATTATTCAAGTATTTGTGTTGTCGTCTTATAATTAAAACGTATATTCATTGTCAAAAAAAAAGCATTTTTGCGAAAGAGACGTCTTAGCGAAACGATCGCTCTATTTTCTCGAAATTATAAAATTGTGAGTAAATAATATCGAAATCATTATATATTTAATATAAAATATTTTTATTGTATTTTTAAAGAAGAAAATATCCAACTCTGATATCATTATTCTGAGCATATATAAAAATGCTCTCATTTCACTCGTCCAAATATAATAATTATACTTTTTAAAATAAATCAATATAATGTATTTTTTTTCTTAAAGTTTACATTTTCTTCTTTTCAAAACAGTACTTATTTTTATTTGTATCTTTTTTTTATCATAAAAATATGATTTTTTGAAAAAAAAAAACTGATTATTGCACTCTTTTCACAAATTGTTCTTTAATATTTTTTGGCATAACTTTTTTAATTATTATCAAAACCTTTTTATGTTTTGATATTTTGATTCTATACATTCTGGCATTTCATTAAAAAAAATAAATAAATTTTTCATTAAAATTTATGGTAATTATGGAACCAATAAAAAACGCCGTGGGTGACTTGGACCCGGACATGTAAATTAACTTTAAAACCAGATATGTAGTTGAGAATTAATATATCTACTTTATACTATACCTGATATACGTTATAAAAAAAAAATATACGTATATTATACTTTTTTATTCTTATATATATTGGGTTATTTCAAGACTGTCTCAAGTAATGTCTTAAGACGCTAATACGGCTCTATGAATTGTTTTCTTAAAATTATATAATAATACTTAAGACGGTCTTGAATAATAAGATCTGACTACGAAGATCGGCCTATGGATATCGGCCTGATACTCTTGCATGCGCAGTTGTAAAATATTGTTAAGTTATCATTTTCCAATTTCCTGACATTAAAAAACTTTTAAATTAAATAATAAGGAAATGAAACTTGCCACTTACAAGTTTCATTTCCTTATTATTTAATTTTATTACTTCTCGTAATATACTACGACAAGTTTTATTTTATTATTTAATTTTTTTCTTCTCGGATTACACTACGTATTGTATAAAAATACACAAATTTACAAAATTATAGAAAAATCGGAGGGGAGCGGCGAGCGTCATACTAAACATTTACCACATTTTTACATTACAGAATTAAATAGCATAAACACAGTATATAAAATTTTCTGTATTGCAAATCAAACTAACTAAGACTCCTTATAATTCAAAGAAGGAAAAGGGCAGTAGGAGTCAAGCGCAAAGATGTCGCACAAATAATATATCTATGAAGTGTGAAACTTCTTTATTCACTAAAACGCACTTACATGTTTCGGCTCACTTTTGAGCCCTCTTTAGAGACAATCAAAATTGGCATACATAAACTGTGAATAAAAATTATCCTATCATAGTGAGCACCCCTACCTCAAGAATTTAAACGCCAAAAAGAGTGAAATAAAACAAAAGTCAGTCAGTCAGTGTCGTTGATACGCAGTAATGAGTCTTTCTGAGGTGATTTTTGATTTTACTTTCCAACTTTCATTTTTATGGAATTGATTAACATTCCAATGCGAAATTTTTCATTTGTAAGCTTCAATAATATTAGCTAAAACTGAAAGTGATTCATTGTGTCTGATACTAACTAGCTATTATAAAATATTGAGAACCGGTTTTTGAATAATTTATTGTAATGTTTGCGATACAGTTTGTGTATCCTTTCTAGTTCTTGAAAATTTTTTCTTGTAATTATAATTTTTTGGGCACTGAATCTTCACGTATGTTTTAAAATTTAGTGTCCTAAATCGAAAAGAAGAACAATATGTTTTTGAACATTAAATCATCCAGAGACAAGGTAGTGTTTCGGCGCTAAAAAAAACGCGTAGCATTTTTTCAGTAAACGTTAAAATGTTTCGTTAAAATAATGGACACATACAATAAAATAAAAAAATTTGCACTTTTCACACCTGAAAAAAAGAATTTAATGTATTAATACTCAATCATTATTTCAAATTTATTTTTATCAATAATTATTTCGATAATGAAGCATTTATGACTTGATATTTATAAGAAGTTTGTTTTCCTTTTTATCCGAAAACATATTCACAAAGTTTTAAAATATACTTATCCTATATATTTATATGTCTTGTTCACAAATTATTCATAAAATGTTGGAAAATATTATAATCACGAAATGTCGTCATAGTTAAAATAGTACATGCAATAATAATAATTTGGTTCTGATAATACTAAGCTATACTGATATTATCACTGACTCATACTAAAGTTAGCGGTATGCTAAAATTTAAGCTTGTGCTGACTATGGTCTTACATGAAATTGCGCATGCTTTGAATGATTTGAAAATATATTGGCGATATGCAAATCGCGAGCACAGGAATAATTATAGTCTCTATTCACTGTCAGGTAGGGAGAAGAAAATAGACAATGTTCGTTTATAAAAGGAATGCAATGTGATCAGCATCGTCTTTTGCAAGTTCGCCTCTTTTTTGGTTAACTCTCGGATATCTTAATGATGCCATATAAATGTGCTTGTAACTGTAAAAAAGCTAAAAAACCTGCAATATTTTTTTCGGAAGAACAGTGATCGTTCGAGAGTCTAAATGCGTGTGCATCTGCTGTTAATTTTGTTCTTCGCGAGCACTATCTTAGCGCGAAGTGCTAGAAATAGACGGGATACTAATCTGGTATATGAATTTATTGCATCATAATGGATTCTTTTAATTTATCTAAATGATTTAAAACTATTGCTGATAATATATTTAACTGAGAAATGTCTTATTCTAAAAACAAACAATTTCTGACACTTAACAAATAGCGAATATTTGCAGATATAACAGAACAGTTTGTAATAATTTTATCACCTCTATCACACACACTTTAAAACTTTTCTTAAAATAGCCATGTAAGTTTATTTATATTTTTAGAATACTGCACAATAAAAAACATTTTATACTTTGATTAAAACTTGTTCTTGTCAAAATTTTTATATTAAATTTCTAACACATTCGAGTATTAATTTAATATGGTGTGTGATTATGCTAGTTGAATATTTTGTGTTAAATTGATATTTAATATTTCTTGATATAAAAATAACACAATTTTCCAGTAAAAGGATAAATAATATAAAAATAATGTAGTTTTAAAATAAGAATTCTAAAATAAATGATAAATACACGCGTTAATTTTATATATTATAAATGTTAATTTTACTGAAAAAAATATACTCCTTGCACAATTTGTTTCCAACTTGTGTCAGAGTGTTTTTACTAATTTTATTAACTTTTTTGTACTAACGTTTTTACATTATGTTTTTTTTTCTAGTAATCATCTATTTAATAATCGTCTTATATTAAATTTTAAGATAAAAATTTGAATCATTTAAGATACATGAAATATAAATTTAACTTGACAAATTTTCCAACTGTGTAGCTTTGTGTAAATATTGTTTTACTGACATTTTTCAAATTTAAATCCATTATAAACTAATTTTCCTATTATAAAATAGAAATATTTATGTAGTTTTTTTTTTTAGAGTTTTATACGCATCGAAATATTTTATACAATTTACGTCTAAAATACTCACTCATCGATTAGTTTAAAGTATTTTACATATTCCTTCTTAATTTTATATTCAAGGATATCGATAAGTAAAGTTTTTTTTTACATATTCTTATCGGCATACATATCTAATTGTTTCACAGACTACGTTTAACCTTCCTGTTATTTCTACAACTGAGGCTTATAATGGAAATAAGACAACAAACGTTATTGGAGATAATTCTGATGAAACTAATAATGGAACTAATATTTTCAATCACCCGTTAAGAATGTTATTGAACCTTATTAAATCAATAATATTAGTCATTAAGAATACATTATCGACATTTTCAAAAACAGTACATTCAACGAGTGACTTTGTAATACGCGCTATGCAAGAACCGGTAAGCGTAATGTTATTTATTTAATATTTAAAGAAATAAAATCTTTTTTTTTTCTTATCTATGTATTGTATATGTATATGTACTCTTCAATATTTAATCTTCTTTTTCATTTGAAATATCAATATTTAAATAATTCAAATTATATGTTTATGTGCAGTTTAATGAAATATTAAAGACGATAATCAGAATCTTTGAATGGTCATACAACAATATTTTTAAATAAAAAATAATAACGTTATAAAATTTTTTCAAATTTTGGTAAGTAATTCGTGAATATATGTAACTCATCAATATGTAACTCATATAAATGCCTTTTGTATTACTAATGTATCATTTGTCTATAATAATTCATTTCGGTTAAAGAAATGATGAAAGTCAAAAATAGAACTAAATATAATGGCTAGCTTTTCATTACATATAAATACATCCTTTATTATTAATAATAGTTTGTTTAGTACACATAATACATAACTATCATCTTGCTATCTCGATTTTGCATTGTACAGTCTTTAACATTGCTTTTAACTTATGGTCAATTGATTGCTTCGTCGATATCAAGTAACATATAAGAATAACGATTATTTTTAATTTACTAAATTTATATATTTATCTATATTTATATATTATATTGAATACAAAAATCTTAGCAAAGTATTCATGCTTATGACATTGAAGATAATTTGATCTACAATCTCTATTGAATACTCGGGACTAAATCACATAATCATGCACGCTATCTATCTAACTGCTCCCGATTGTTAACGTTGAGAATCAATATGACATACAATTACTGTAAAACAGAGATTTTACAATTATTATAAAATAGCAATTGATTACTTCTTGTAAATGAATATTGAGTATATTTATAACGATTAGAATAACTCCACGAAAGTAGGATGGGTTTATTCCACTAGAAAATTGAAATTTAATGATCGATTGTCTTTAGCCTCGTTATACAATTTGTTCTCATATTTAAATCAACTTTTCCATTCTGTTAGATTTTACCTATGATCAATAAATTTTTCTGTATCTATGCACATTAAAATGATTCACAAGTTATACATTTTTTACGCTTTCTCTTAGAACAGTTACAAATATAAATAACTATCAGCTGACAAGGTTGGACTATCATTAGAAGTCGATATTAATTACTGGAGATTACAAGAAGCATTATCAAATCCAGACTAAGAAGGAAGTCCATCCATTGAATACCTATCATATTTTTTGGTACACAGCGGAAACTTTTTGGTCAACTATACATCAACATACTTTTATCTACTTAAATTGTCCCATTTGTAAATGTATTTATAAATCAACGTTCAATAATCATCGATAACTTAATCATTTCGTTTTTTTTTTCATGCTCTTTCTTAACAAATTTTCGTCTCGTTAATTGTACTCATATTCCTACTAATACGAATTTGCAAATTCGGATGAAATCGACAAGATCCTCTTTAAGAGTCCTCAGGAAAGGAATGACACGATTCCGAAAAGATTCGTTCCGTTGCATGTAACGGGAATCGAAAACGCGCGAGGAAGGTGCTATCGATCTTAGACAGTTGTCTCGTCTAAGATCGATCGGAAATTCTAGGTATTGGTAGTGTCGTAACTCTTGTACGTGTGAGATGATCTCTTGTGCCTGACTGTGCAGAAGAGAATCATGCTGGCCACCTGGCCGAATAACTGGAGAAAAGCCACGACGAGGCCCACCGTGCCCACCACGTGGAGTCTGGTTACCAGCCACATTTGAATAGCGGTCGCGCATCCTTCCTTGTACCAGAGTTCCTTGTTACGACCCTCTGAATCTAGGCGACCGCAATATCGTTCCCGCTGCATGCAGCAAGAATCTGGAACCCGATCCTCCTCTGGCCACGCTTCGATTTGAAACCAATCCGTATAATCGCGTACGCCACAGCAGTGAAACTACAAGCGTACATTTAAAACTGTATCATCATATTAAGCGTTTACTTGAGACTTATTCTTTGTCTCTGCACTGGAGAGACTGCACTAAAATTATCTCTCTTACTTTTATCAAATGTCTAGTATGTATTTGTTTTGTTTTGACGTGCAATCTGTACACATGTATTAGTTCAGCCACAAAAAAAAAAC